TGGAGTCTCAACGCCCCTTCGCTTTTAGATGGCCGATTCTGTTGATGTGTTCGTGTCGCTCGTGGTCACACAGTGGATTGCGCAATATATATATATATATGTATAAATATAAATATATATATATGTATATGTAAGTACATATATAATATCCAGCCCTTGCAAGCAACCAACAACTAAGCAATCCCGCGACTGTGTTGGGTGATTCTTGATTGAAATGGGGTTGAGATGCTCTGTCCACACATGTCTGGTCTTTACGGTGTCCGAGTCCAATGGAGGTAAGGAAGGGGTCGGTTGCTTGGCATTAAAAGGATAACTATGCGTAATGTTGACCCCGGATTAATAAACCCCTGGTTGATTAATAGGGGTGTCCCCTTTTAGTGGGGATTCATCACTTTTGGACACCCCCATAATAATGGGACGGGTTTATTAATCCTGGGTCAGCATTATGGTGTTTCTATTTGTTCCATAACATTGACAAGTTTTTGGGGCGCTTCGCAAATGTCAAACCCGCCAAGGCAGTGGCGCTGGTTCAATTTCCCGTCCGAATTGCTCACTCGTCGATTTACAGGCACGAACCCAGACGCGACAAGAGACAAGATACTCCACGCTAATGTTCTTGCGTCTGAAGGTGCCGTTTTTGCAGGAGGAGCTGCACAAACGAAGCTTCTTGAGGTCCACGCCAACTGTTGCAACAAGTCTCCGCGTAATTTTCTCAAAAATCAGCTGCAATTCTCCAGCACAAGAACCACACTGACTCTCAACATCTGATCCAGCTACATTTAAATAATCCGCATTGCCTCCGATTGAGTGACCCGGGTGTCGTTGTTGACATCCACATGTGCGCCGCTTAGCCGCAGGGTAGTCGAACATGCATTGAACTTCACAAACAGGTTGGTTAACATACCATCGATGATCTAACAACATATCTCGCCAGGAGGGTCAAATATGGACTCGACTTTGCAACCTATAGTTGCCTTCTGGCTCATTGTTTCTCTTTGAATTCCAACGAAGATATAAACAAATATCTGTCCAAACCCAACTGCTTGGTTGACGTTGGAAGGGGAGCAACAAAAATATGTTTTAGCAGTTAAGTTGGGATTTCCCACAAAACCACAATAAGCAAAATGCAAAATGTTGCCCAACAACAACCACCACTGCTTGCGAGCGCTTGCGCCCGCGCGCAAGTGTGCCTTGGAGGGATTGAGGCCCACCGCACGGACCAGGTTCCCAATGTTGTTTCGAGTCAAGGCCTTATGGCTCAAGGCCCGGCCAAGAGCCCAACAAGGCACAAGGGCACAGTCCCTCAGAATGTGCCCACGTGAGAGACAGCTGCAACTGCAGAAAAGGATGGCATGCACTCATCTTAACCTCCGGGGCGTAGAACATACAAACTCATGTCAATAGCGCTAAGCTTTAGTCTCTCGAAATAAGGCTACGCATCTCTGCTTGCAATTTACCTCCCCATTCTTCCGTTGAAATCGCCGCCGGCCTCGCACTGACAGGGGGGTGTCTCTCAAAATAGGGGGACCCAAAGATCGCTTCGGTTTCCTTTTGGTGCCCCCTGAAACCAACCTGAAAAGGTTACCCTCAAGAAGAAGAGCCGCACCCAACTGGGCGGGCCTTTTTTTGAGGGCACCCCTTTTTGTGGTGTTAAAGGAAAGCCATTTGGGGGGATCCCCTAAAACAGGCACGTCCAAACTAGGTCCTCCGGTAGAGAGGCTAGAATAAGGGTACCTGTTTTTTTTCTTCTTTTTCTGAAGTCTATTTTAGTAGGGGAACCCTCCTCCCCAAAAAAAAAGGTAAAAGGGCACTAGTGGGGGACCTAGCAAATGCACTTGTTCTCGAAATCTCTCAGGCGCACACACCGTCCAAGTCTTCCATGTACTCATCGAAGACCTGCCGGCCGAGGTCTTCCCTCCAGACATCGGATACCGCAGGCCGGCGGCCGCGCAGGGCTTACGGCGTAGAAGGAACAAAACAACCGTTTGGAGTACTGTAAGGGTTGATTCCTTTTCCATTCTTTCCAACCATTGTTCCTTTCGAAAACCTGCCGTCTCCCTGGGTGTCCGGAGGTTTTCTAGAAAGAAGGATCCCTGGAAAGAATGGGAAGGTGGCACTAGAAGTATGAATCGGTCAGTGCTGCGGCTAAATGGTTGTCAATGAGAATGTGGGAACTAGTCAAGAGTGCGTCCAAGGTGTTCCTTAAAGCGTCTATATTGAAACAAATGAGAGAGCACAAAAGGGGTACGCAGAGCGAGACAAAATAATGGCGGTGAGTATGCTTTCGTTGTTCAAACAACGGCGGTGGAACAGTGTGAAACCCTGTACCCCAACGTTTGCGAATGACAACAAAACTACGAGGAATGATTTCAGCTGCTCGCGCAGTACTGGACACTACTCAACACATGTGTAATACTGTGGCATTGTGTGTGTAAGTTGCCTTTAGGGCGGCTTGAACATCTTGCGATTCTGCGCTTCACCGCAGCGAGGGAGGGCTGGTCCTTAGTAGGAAATGACAGGCACAAAGATTAGATGTTCCAGTCGTTCAATAAGGCTGTGTCAAACCGCAAAGCTCTTGTAGTGTAGGGAATATTTAATGCCTGTTTGCAATCCAGGGAGTGGGGAACTGCCGGGAAGATGCCGGGTAACACCCGTGCACTGAACACAATCATCAGAGCAAACCATCCCTGACATTGACTCCGGAAAATATCCCGAAGTTTATATTTCTCGGACTCGGTCAATGATTGGCAACACATGCTGCATCACTACAATGCTAAGCAACTCGCCTGTATGAAACAGTCCGATTGCATCGATATCAAAATCCGGCACGCCATCATCTCGGCCGGCAAGTCTGCAATTTGTGTTGCAACTCAAAAAAAAGAGGATTGGACTCCCAAGTAAACGACCTGCACGTGAGATCGCAACCGCTGCAAGGAATGAGTTCAGTAACCATCATGAGCACCAACATGAAGCCTTGTGGGACATGCTGCATAAGGCGATTATTCCGATAACAAGCAACCAAATCGAAGGGGTCAATCTAATTGGCTCCCTTTCCCAATGCATGAAGGGCAAAACTTCTTGCTAAGCTTCCGAAACCATCCCTACCAGCCCCAAGTACTCCCCTGCAAAGCGGATCGTCGGCCTGCTTGAATTCCAGCACCTGTTCCAGGCTGAGCTGTAGCTCCTAAGCATTGGACTGCCCTGGTATGAGACACACACACAGACACACGTGTGCGTGCGTTCCAACGGAAAACGTGTGTTTGGGAGGCAGGGGAGCGGGAGGTGATGCTGGGGAGGTCCACATTGCGACCTATAGCCCCAGACCCCAAAATGGAGCTTCGCCCAGGGAACGAACTGATGGCTCTCGTGAAGTAGGGGACGGATGATCTGTTTTAAAATATCAACAAAGGCGAAGATCATTCGACAACCCATCGGTCTTTGATCACGTGTGAGTAGGAATCCTACACAGAAACTGGGCCCATGATTCTGTTTTCTGCAAGGTGCATCGAAACGCCGTCAAGAGCCTCAGGAAGGCTGGGATGTGAATGTGCACGCACTGCGAGAAGAAGTTGAGCCCTCATGTAATTGATCTTGGTGGCTGGATAATGGAGTCCCAAAACAATGATGATGATATATGATGATTAATACGATGAAAAAAGAAACTATAATGGTATATACATGCAGTGTGATAGTTGTCAAGTGGTCATGGAACAATATTGGGAACAGCAGCGCTCCCATTCTTGGTGATGCGCAGTAGGGAAGCAACTGAAGGGGAAAAACAATGCCGCCGAAGAAGATTGAAGAAGTACAGGACTAGAGTGCTGGCCATGGCCAAAGTCGCTATTGACAGGGTTGCTAAAGGCTGCCGACTGGTCAAACACCTAAACCAGGAGAACTGGCTTCGCCACCCGGCTGGGTTTTATTCTATCAGCTCCTGCCCTTGGGCTCAACTTCTCCAGCGATTGATCCGCGAGTCCGGGAGTCGCTTAAGACCGCCGGGGGACTTGCGTGCTTCCGACTGGAACTTGTGTGTTGCTGGTGAAGAGAATACGGCAACCAGAGGGGGATAGTCATAGGCATAGGAAACCCCACTTTTTGCTTCCGTCCTCCCAATGATTCTTCAGCTTCGATCTGATCCGATCGTTGCAGCCCGATCCGACCGAATCCTGCAAACCTCAGCTCCGTGTCCAAAACACAACGTATGCATCTCCTTGGCTCGTTGAAAATGACAAGATGACGGTAGTCTGCCAAAAACATCATGTGCACTTACACGATTGTTGAAGAAGGGAAACTTAGGCACTCACCACAACATATCAACTTTCCTTCAACAGGTCCAACTCTTTAACATTCACGGAGGATGCACTGCTAGCACACCCAACATCAGCGCATAATCCTCTCGTTGCCCTTTTTACCATTCAAACAAACTCAAATCATGCGTTTGCCTTTTTTTCGCGTCACTTGAATCATACCAAAGCTGATCTAACCCGCCACCCCCCCTTTTCCCCAGCTGCGTCCTTCGCATAGTATGCCACCTCCTCATCCGTTAAAGGCTCGGGGGTCCATGTCATGAGCAGACGAGTCAAGGCTCGAAGCTCAGAAACAACCACGGCATCTGTGGTTATGCAGGGATTGATCATAGCTGTGTACAGCTCGTCGTCACATACAAACACCAAAGGCGCAAGTGTAACGGTCCGCCCAGAAAAAGCGCCAGTTGGAACTCAAAAGCCGAAATCTTTGGTCTGCTGCCGGCTCAGGCTGTCTTCTTGTGTTTGCCATGTCTTTCTCGCTGTCCGGTCTAAAGCAACCCGCACGCACTGGTTCTTGGCATCTGTTGTTGGACCCTCGCTACAAGTTGACAAGGGTGGCCACTGACCATCCAGATACCCCTTCCCCCAAAACTCCAGTTGCACCTCGAGAAATTGGTGGCTTTAGTCAAAGCACTGAGTAGACAGTCCAACACTGGCTTCCAAGACCTTCTAAGGCAGGTGAAAGGCCTCTTTTTCGCAAGCTTCGCGCACTTTTCTGCTGCTGGTGGCTGGGTTTGCCATCTCACTTCTTCTCGGCAAAGTCCCCTCCATCTCCAAGCTTGCCCTGACAGGTGCAGGACTTCAGACATCATGGAGTTCTGTTTGGTTGGTTCTTTCTCCGCGATTGCGACTTGCAAGGGTTTGACTGAAGCATTCGACTTACAACGGGTGTTGAGGTGGTGTGTGGAAGGGTGGGCAACCTGATTCGCAAACCACAAAACCACATGTACAGGTGGTCGCTGTGATTGTGTTTGTGATTGCAGGCCGACATTGGCCGGCTTCCGCTTGGTTTCCCTTTTGGCCACCAACCATGCAACCCCAAAACCGGTAAGCTCAAAAAGGGGGGGTCTGCGTCTCTGAGCCGAGGTCAAGTGATACAGATTTCTTGTTTACGCCGGCGTGGGGAGAGACATGACCACAGTCCTTGCTTGCCCACTCACTCCTGTTGGTTTTAGAGCTTCGGCAAGAGCTTGCAAGGAGGGGTATGGATGGCCGAGTTCGGGCCAACTGACTGACCAGATCCAACACGCCAAGAATCACACGTCCACAGATCCTGCATCATGCCCCTTAAGCCATGCCAACCGGCTCCGCTCGTGTATGCAAAATTCAACCGACCGAGTGGCCCATTTGGTTCTCGGAAAACTCAGACAAAAGTCTCGCATTCATGGCCCGCCGGGATTAAGAGTCGCAACACATGTGCATACTTGTATACGCGAATGAGTAAAGCCGATGTAGAACCTATACGTTTCTCTTGGAAGAGAGATCCCACTGCCCTGTATATTCTTTCCATTGGTGGTGTACTTATCCCGGACAGGGGTACTCCCAGTGCAGGTCTCGACATTCGCAGAGACCAACAAGCAGTGGACCAAAAACCAGGCGCCTTGTTCTTGAAGTCTCCGTTGCTGAAGGAGGTCCGCGCCTCCGGCCAATCCTGGCGACTTCTGAAATCTGACTCGAGAGCTCAGGATAGCTGGGCGAACGCCTGGAATTCTCGTCTCAGAGGTGGAAGAGGAATTCTTCGAAATTCCCCCAGTCAACACGTCAAACTTGGAAACTTGTAGTCTCTCTTCGGTTCCGTGTTGACTTAAGGAAGGAATTCCTCTTGCCTCTCAAAGCCATAGAATTATGATTTTTTTAGCCAGCCAGAGACTGGAAATCTTGAAATATTTTTTTGTTTTCAAAAAATCATCGATTTGGTTATCCTCAAACCTATCCAAAAATCATCCTACAATCATCCTCTGCAAAACACATCATCGAAAAATCATCCTCTCCCTCCTCCTTCATCCCTCCTCCACATCGCTTCTATTCTCTGCGTTTCCATTTTCCTTTCCTTCCCGTTCCTTCCCGTTCCTTACCCTTTTCCATTTCCCTCTTCTTGTTTCCATGTTCCATCTCCTTTCTCTTTTTTCTCTTCCTTGTCCTCTCCAATTCTCTTTGCCCTGCCCTGTTCCTTCTTTCCCTTTTCACTCTTCCTCTTCCTGAGACTGACAGGAAAAGCACAAAGTTGCAAAACCCTCCTGCGAAAAATCATCGAACAATCTTCGAAAAATCATCCCCAACCCACATTTTCTGGACCAACCCCCCTTCACAGTGGTCAGGAAAGCAACAAGTTGCAAAACCCTCCTGTTTTTTTTCAAAAAAACATCGACAAATCATCGAACAATAATCGAAAAATAATCGAAAAATCATCGAAAATCTTCGAACAATAATCCCCAACCCACATTTTCTGGACCAACCCCCCTTCACAGTGGTCAGGAAAGCAACAAGTTGCAAAACCCTCCTGTTTTTTTCCCAAAAAACATCGACAAATCATCGAAAAATCTTCAAAAAATCATCGAACAATCTTCGAAAAATCATCCTGACCGGAATCCATCTTCAAGAAATCATCCAACAAATTATCCTGCCTGACATCAACCTTCCAAAATTCATCCTCCCTATTTTCCTCCCCTGTTCTCCAGCCTGGAACACGATTTGAAACGAGCTTCAACACAGCCACAGTCAGACATTTCTTGCGCAAAATAGCTCCAACTAAATTGTTTCATGGCTGAAGCTGAAGGAAACCCACCACAGCAAGCCAAGCAAAGCCAAGCCAAGCAAAGCCAAGCCCAGCAAATCAAAGCAAAGCAAAGCAAGCGAGCGAAGCAAAGCAAAGCAAAGCAAAGCAAAGCAAAGCAAAACAAGTGAGCGAGCGAGCGAGCAGGCAGGCAGGCAGGCTTGAGGATAATGAAAAACGATGAGGACAAAAAAATGATAATCTGGAGGAGAATGACAAACGATGAGGATAAAAAAAGGATAGTGTTGAGGATCATGAAATCGTTGATTTTTTGAAAAAACAAATATTTCAAGACACCTCAGTGTGTGGCTGCAAAAATGTCATAACCATAGAAGCTGCGAACTGCGTATCCTGTCGAGCTGGGAACGAGACCCGGGAGTGGGGTAAGAAGCCTTCAGGCCTCAGGCCTCCATAAAGGAACACCAGATTGTATCAGAAGGCGTCAAAACAAAGCGGCTGCAATTGAGGGCACTCTCCACGTGAACCCTCGCACTACAAAGGACTTGAAAGCAACCCCATGTCCTGCGACAGAGAAGCCAGTCCAATGCCATGTTGCGCCTGCCCTTGGCTACACCATGAAGAAAAACAAACGAGACAGTATTGGCTTTGCAGTGGCCTAAGCATCCTAAGCTGCTGCACAGCCATCGACATGTAATTGCACGCAGTGCGCACAATGAAAACACTTTGCACCAATTCATACAGCTCATGGAACACTCTGGATTCTCCTTTCCACACTGCCGGCTTGCAGTAGCATCTTTTCGTCCACACGAGCGCATTTTTACTATTGATTGCAACTCGTGCCATCTTCTAAGTGGGCCAAAGGCTTGCCAGCAAAGTTCACGTACGTAAGAAGGTGTCAGTGATCAACGAGTTGCCTGGGCTGCAAAACAATATGAATAATGATGATGATAATAATAATAATAATAATTTGATCCTGGAGCACGATTCAGCACGCATGTATGCAGGACACGAAACATACAGAAACGGGCATCAGTGGCTTCGCACAATGCTTCGAGAACACTGTACAAACTTGTGTATATGTATATATAAATATATATGTATATATGTATATACACACGCAAACATGTGTATATATATATACATATATATATATATATATATATGTATATGTGTAGCTATTTGTGGTTTTACTACTTCTGCTACTCGAACCAAGTTGACCTTGGCTGTTTCCACCACAAACAGCACGACCAACACGCAGCCTGCCCTCCGGAAATCCCCTGGGACCCCAGCCGCGCAGCGGAGCCCGGGGAAGTCTTTCTGCACCTTTTGGCAGGCCTCTGATCGCGATCAACGGATCGACGGATCGCGGAGCAGGGCAAGACGCGGTATGGTTTTGGCTTGTGGTTTGGCTTCTTGGTTTTTTTTCTTTCGTTGCTTCTTGGTTTCTTTCTTGGTTGCTTTCTTGTTTGCAAACTTATTGGTTTCTTTATCGGTTGGTTTCTTTCGTGTTTGGTTTGGCTAGTGCCTTGGCCTAGCTTCTTTGGTTTCTTACGTCTGCTGATTTGCTATCGGATCAATATCTTGCTGGCCCTAAGGATGGGCCCAACGAAGTTCATTCAAACGGGTGTGCCAAACAAAGCATAGAGGGTATATGACTTGGTTAGCGTTGCAAGGGGAGCAAAAAATCAAAGTTTAGCCGTTGAGCGGGGAATTCAACCACGAAACCACAACAAGCAAAAATGGAAAATGTTTCCCAACAACAACCATGGGGGGGTCTCCAAGGATTTGGTCCATGGCTGGCTTCCTTCAGGTTTCACTTTCACCGACAAAAAAGTCCATTTCGAGGAGAAGCCGTGCCCTGCCTCAGTGCACCACTCATAGGTGCACTCGGTGCACATGAAGGACTTGCACATCCTTAGCAGTGGATGAAGAACCAGCCCTGATCTAGAGAGTCAGCGGTTGGTTTCAATAAATCCTTGTGCCAGGAATCAACGAGTCACCACTGGTGACAATCAAAATCAAAACACACAATCACAGCATCTTAGCGGATGTGACCCAAAAGAGAAGCTCCAACCAACTGTTTGCAGCCTGTTAGCAAAGTGCATTTGCATGGATGTGGCCTGATGGATTCGCCATGGCTTGTCTGCCAGCCCCATTTGTCACCCCAAAGGTGGCCCGACGGTGGATAAACAGAAAAAAAAAGAAAAATAGCTGATGTACCACATGGCTAGACAGAAACGGGGATGACATGAGTGCCACTCACCAGCTTAAAGGTAGGCCATGGGGATTGCCAATACCTGGTACATTCCTGTGTCAGTTGAGAACCCTCTGTTCAAGCCAGGGACTCCAATGGGTAACTCTCCCGAGCTGCCCCGCATGATGTCGAAGCGGCATTGCCCGTCGCAGGGGCTCGATGCGGCCTGAGAAATCCGCCGGTCACTCGCGTGGGACGGGCTAAACAAAGCAACAGGATCAAACGATTTGAGGGTCCAATCAACCATTGTCAAATGCAAGTTGGCACAACCATGCAAGCAGGGCCGACCATCCGCAGAGATTTCACGGCAGGAATCAGCTCGAATGAGACTCAAACACTGCGACCGAGGTCGGGCCAACAGTCCAACAGTCCAATCTCAGCACAGCTTCAACCAAACACATATGGGTGTGGCTCAAAATTAAGCAGCTAGGGTTGCGCAGGTTTTAGTCTTTGGTTCCATTTACCAAAAGGCCCATTTTGGGTACCTATTTTGTGAGCCACAGCCATATCTAGGGGTGGGTGATGACTGACTTTTTCAAGTCTGATCCAGTATGTCATGCTGATGGTAAGAGGCCAACGCAAGAACACTGTCCCAGCACCTCGTACTGTATGAGTGTTGATTTATTAATGCACTGATGCCACAACGCTCCTGAGTCCTTGGGTCAGAGGACAAACTTTGAAAGAAGGATCCCCATGAATCAATTGGCAGGGCACAGCTAGAACTTGAACTTCCAAAATCATGTATCAGGCTAGAATTGAACAAAATGCCACGACCGCATCTTTCCTTGCGGCTATAAGTGATACTCGGATGACCTGGCCGGTGCTACCAATACGACAGCGTACTGAAAAATCTTGATCACCCGACTCTGGATCAAATGCAGTCCTCCCAAGCGATGCCAAGCATTTTCCAACCACTCTGTGAGGGCATCTTACACAAAAATGCACAGGATCCGCGCTCAAGCAACCAAGGTCCTGGTGCACCATGTTGGAGCTTGTATCCCCTGACAAAACAGGGGTCCCCGCCAATAGCTTCTTGGTCTGGAAAGGTCATGTCTTAAATGGACGGATTGTATCTCCCACGACCTGGCCAAAAGTCAGGTCGAGTTATGCCGAGAGGCGGTTTCTGCCACAGCCTCCTGAAGGGCATGACTCTATGACTTTCCACAAGCTTTGGTTGGTAAGCTGTTCAGCCAAGAAGCAAAGTTCTGCCTCATCCTTTCGTTAAAAATTATGTTGCCCGCCCCCGCTCTCAGGTGAGCGACTTGTGATAGAACAGCTGGAGGTATCTCCAAATCAAAGACTGAATGTCTGAATACATGAACCTTGCAATGAACCCTAGTTTGTATGGGGCATGAATTTATCACTCACTATGCCTTGAAGGAAGAACTAGCCACCAAAGCGGCCCGACTATGCCTTCAAGGAAAAACTAGCCACTAAAGCGGGCCAACATAGGCATATGATGGAGGTCAAACATGGTGTTTGTTTGAGGGTATCTTTTTCAGGTTACCTGGCTCATCGGAAACTCAGGGAAGAGCACCGTTTTGGGGCCTCCCTGACAGGGACACACACACACACACACACCCATCCGGGCTGATGCAATTAGCCTTCGACAAAAAACAATGGCCCGCCACTCCCGCAAAGAGAGATCCCATCGGCTCAAAGACGAGCCCAAAGTAACATGCCGGCTTCACAAAATAGGATTCGGTCCACTAGAAAGCCAATGGACTCTTCAAACATCCCGCAAATCTTGCCTCCACATGCAACTCCCATGTAATATAAGGAGCTAAGTAATTAGAATGTGGTTCTGGGGCATGTTCAAACCAAACTTAGTTGTGAATTGCGTATATAACTGCATGCTGTTAGCATTTGCTAGGGAAAAACACAAAAAAAAAGCATAGGGCAGTTTCGACACACAGCTTGGCGTCCCCATAAGACGCCTTGCCGTAGTTCCAAAGGTTGGGGCCCTGCACCTGAGTCACAATCAAAACCCGGTACACAAATGGTCGACCCAGAACCATGTAAAGAACTAAGAAGGCGGATATCTGCAGCTATTTACGGCTGGGATCGTCCCTAACCTTCACTTACCCGGGCTTTGAGCACGTGGCTCAAATAGGAAAACACGTGGAACCCCCACACCTGTCAGGTCATCTACCCGGGTTTTGAGCACGTGGCTCACCTGGTTTCCCCCAGTCTCCTCCTGACGCAGCACTGTGATGGCCGGCGCCAGGCCCGCCAGGCCAAGGGCCAGGAGCGCCGCAACTCCCTGACGTCAGGCTCAGTTCAGTGACCTTGGAAAAAAAGGGAACCCTTTTTGGGGCTTGGACCATTTTTGTTGTTGGGCAGCCACCAAAAACAAAGGGAAAAAGAATTGGTGCCACTGAACTGAGCAGGAAGTCGCTGGGCTAGCGACTTGCGAATCTCCGAAAAGCCCAACAAGTGATTCTTGGGACTTGGGCATCGATTTTCATGGCCCGAATTGGTGATCATTGAGCTGGGGAGTTTTATGTCCAACCACTTTTCAGGTGTTCCCCACATGTCACAGCCACGGAAGTGCTGTGCATATTTAAGCATTGCTCAGCAACCTGGGCGTGGCTCATTCTTCGTTTTTAACTTTTGGCGGTGGGGTGCCCTTTGCTCCGGAAACATGGCCACCTATCTATCGGAGTCCAATGGCATTCAACCAAATGCATCAACCAGATTTCTTGGTTGCAGTTGACCTCCCTGCAAAAAGTTTAACTTTTCTGGGGGGTGTCGTGGAAAACCCCTTGATTGACCAAAAAGTTAGAGTCTAAAGATCCAACCCAATAGCAGTCAGGATTCATCCAAGAAACTTGTCATTCAAATCCTCAATTCGATCGGCCCAAGCTAAAAAGTCTAAGAGGAACCTCGAATCGGCCAAAGTACCCAAAGCTCGGGGCCTTCCCCGCACCTTTTCGTCCTCAAAGGGAGACTGCCCAGAGCCACGGGATTTCAAGTGCTTCACAGCTTTGGGAGCGCCAGCAACCGTTTTTGAACAACTCAAGCGGTCGGCACGATTGATTTATCATGTGATCAGCATATTATATATATACATATATATATATACATATATATATATATATATCTTGTTGTATTATATATAATATACATATTATCGCACTACAAGTCCCAAAAGCTTCGCATGCCGGCTAAAGCGGTAAATCAAATGCTATGCTTGGGGGAATCCTTGTCACAAGCACTCGCAAATCTGCCTTCATTGCTGGATAGAGCCAAACAAGGCCCAGCCTTCGAGCCA